ACCCTCGGCCCCAGCAGATCTCTGGCTGTCACTTCTCACGGTGAGTGCTGAGATGGAAATTCAAATTACTAATTATAAATGAATCAGTGACGGCCCACTTCTCTTGCACTCTGACCCATCTGTAGGTGACCCCTGTGGATTTTCTTCTCTTCTCTTGCTCCCAGGATGGCACCGTACCATTGTCACTCCCAGGATTCTTCCATGGTGGGGATTTCAGATTCATCAAGTAAAAATGCAGGACACGGGGCTAAGATTATAATCAAATCAACAACAAATGCCTTTTGGTTTTTTGGAGAAGATGTATGTTAGTACAAAATATCATTTATTCTGGAAGTCAAGACAACTTTCCAAAGTTTAAGTACAGATAATTACACCTTACCTATCAACACAAATGCATGGCAGAGAGTAAGGCATCACTTGACAGCCCAGAAGATCTGCTCTTTTTCAGTATGTGGTGGCCATTTACAGGGTGAGCAGCATAGACTGGGGGGAGAGAGCCAGATACCCCATGGAGTAAAGGAAGAAAATATTAAAATTATTCTCTCTCACATTTTAGAACATTATTTAACTGTCCTTTTTGTCATGAGTTATAAACATGTCATCTATCAATAAAATTGCTCTGATATATAGTTAATACATAATTATTTGTATATTACTAGTCCATGCACAAATACTATTTTACATCCACCGAGCAGTGACACTGAGGTCGCGGGTCTATACTGTTAGTGACTATCATTTGTTCATTTGTTCTGGCAGGTAAGACACATGTGCCACTTTGCTAGTGCCAGCTTTTGGAGAAACGGCAGCAACTATTAAATGAAGTGAGCGATTTGTCCTTTATAAACTCACACGTATCCGGAGGCTTACCTCAGTGTCCTGCTTCAGTCATGGACTTCCGAGTCTGAGCCAATAAAACAAACCACCAGCATTTCCGCCTTGTCATACACATTCACGTTTATGAGCTACTATAATTAGAAGTGTCCTTGGAAATGTGATGGAACACGCTTTCGTCTCAGAGGCATCTGAGTGATTGTGGTGCTCTTCCATTTTTTCTTCTCATACACTTGAAGTCTTCTAAGCTGTGTATTCAGCTAATTTCATAAAGTAATGATGCCAATTTCATAAAGGACAAATAATGTGAGATAATACTTGCAACATTATGTAGTGAAATTTTATAAAGTGTTATGTTACCATTAAAAAATGCCTTTCTTTTGCAAGCTGGCATTGGTCTCACAGCCAACACCTTCCTCCTCCTCTTCCGCATCCTCATGCTCTTTCTGGGTCACAGGCCGAAGCCCCACGACCTGCTCACCGGTAACTTGGCCCTCGTCCACATACTGATGCTGCTCACCATGCTGTTT